GCATTGCTCCACTGAGAGGAGCTTCTCCTCTGGGCTGTGTGATAAGCCACCATGGGGAAATGAGAAAACAAAGAACTTTTACCACAGTCAGCGATAGCATCAACATTTGTGAGAAATGACCTGACTTCTTGTCACTTTTTCCACCCTGCAGACCACTGTGTTGTGAAAGGAGGAGGCAGTTCAGGCAGCACAAACCTGAATGAGGACACCCTGTAGGATGCACTGCACTCCCTCGCACTGAGCATAGCTCTGCCAGAAGTGCTGCTAACCAGATGCATGGAAAAGAGCTGGTCTGTGAAGTCTGACTGGAAAACACTGGGGAGGAGTCTTCTGAACCATGAAGAGGTGCAGAGCTATAGGTATTAGCTACTCTGTAAGAAGGGGAGTTTACAACAGTGGAGAAGCTCGTATAGTAAGGGAAGAAATAGGTAAAAGCAGAAACACCCACTATGGTTTATTCAATGGCACCAGGAGATTATAGTCAGTGATAAATGTCACCTTGATGCTAGTATGCTTTATTTTACTGCTTATTTGTTCCATTCCATTTAAAAACCACAGAAACGGAATCCCCCGAAAGAAGCCTACTGAACCTTCTCCTTTGCTACATGATTTCATGTATGTCAGAACTGATTCAGATGCTCTATATAAGCAGAAGGGGCAGCAAGTTCTCATTTCCTGAAAATTAAAGCGTGCAAAAATCGATTTATATATGACAAGTCTAAGGAGGGCCAAGTACGTAGCTCCTCATGGCTGGAGTAGCTGATTCATAACTGAGTTTTGGGGTGGTTCCTGGGACTACTTAAAGGATATTTACAGCTATCCATGGAAGGAGGAAGATGAAGCTTTGGGACAATATTGGCTTCCCTGGGGTGAAGGAGCAATGACTAGCTGAGGCAGAGAGTAGTCCTCTGTGGCTCTACCCCTGCTTGGCACTGCCTAAACTACAGTCAGTTGGACTACACCTAAGACTGACTAATGGGTGCGGAAGGACCACCTGGGTTTCATTTCTGCTACATATCAGATCTGCCACTATTTCCGTTCTTTCTAAAGTGGGTATTATTTGAGGTTTGAGGCATCTTTACAAGCATTTCAGGATGTGTGATGCATAGGGTCACATTTGGCTGTGGAGTGGAAGGCCAATGCATCAGGCTGTAACATGGGAGGGAAACTTCTGGTACATATCTCAGACTCCTTGGACAACTCTTAAGTGAAGAGTTTTGGAAGCTAAGTGTCTAGCAGTAAATGGTCTCTGTTCATTGTTGAATATTTTGGAGCCTGTTTCTTAGATTATCCACAGTTCTGAAGATAGTCGTTGTACTTGTGGGTTGTTGGTTCTCAGATTGTTCATGGGAAACAAGTAACAAGGTGAAGTAAGTCCATAAGAAACATTAAATGAAGTAGCTAAAGTCATGGGCATCTCTGCTGTAAATATATTTTGTTGCTGGAGTATTGGGATCAAGAGAGAAGTCCGCGATGAACAGGTTAATGATCCACAGCTGGTAAGTAGATTTTGTAGGGCCAGCAGCAGAAGCTGCTGAGCATGGCCATGCTGGTCTACTGGCTGTACAATTAGGCAGAGGTTAGCTGCAGTTAAAAAAAAAAAAAAAGTAATAATAAAAATCCTTTTTCTTGGTTTCTGTAAAAAGCAATAGACAGTGCTTCTGGACATTTTACCTTGGAAGTGTCAGGTTTTAAAGGCTTCATTATCAGCAGTGTTCCCTCCCCATGTTTGCTGACATTGGTGAGAACCACAGATGGTTTGTACCTGGGAAAATCAAGCTGTTATGTACTTGGAACAGTTTTTTTTTTTTTTTTTTTTTTTTTCTTGTGGCTTTTGTTTGTTTTCTTTGTGTTTGTTTGTTTGTTTTCCAGAGCAAACAACTCTCCCTTCCTGAAAGGAACAGAAGGGGCCTACCAGAGGCTATTCTTACTCCTATATATCCTATGGTCCTACTCTCTATTACTGGGTTACAGTGCTTTCTGAATAGGTTGGCTGCAAGGCAGCTATGGATGTGCCGTGTACAATTTAGCTCGTATAGTAACTTCATGGGACTTAGCTATTTTCTGGGTGAGCTGGTGTTAAGAAGGTAAATATTTTTGAAAGGAGACAGGATTCCTACCTGCTTTGTTGAATTACAGCTACTAAAGATAAAAAAGAATACAAACAAAGAGCCAATATACACATCTGCTGTTTTGCTTGTTTTCCTCCCTGCTAGGGAAAAAACCCACACGCTTTATTGTAATATTAATATTAGTATTATTCCAAACATTAATATCTTGACAAACAGCATATAGACACCACAAATGTGTACCCCACTGTGAAGGATTTTTCAAACATATTTACCTCCAGGTAAAAAAAATTCAGAAAATTCTAATTTTGCAGTTCAGTACAAATACTTCATAACTGTTTTGATAGCTCCTTCTACTTAGGCTAGTTCTCAGCCTTTCAGGAATCCATCTACCCTCTTACCCTCTGTTTCCCAGTTCATAGAGAAAGGCTTTTTTTTTTTTTTTTTTTCCTATTTGGAACTGAATGAAACTGGCTTATGAACTGGATGGGTTGAATTTAGCAGCTAAGAACCATCTGTGGCTTGCACTTATGCCAGAAAGTATGAGCTGAACACGGAGCCTGAGAAGAAATTGCAGCTTTTACAGTCTCTAATGGTGTTAACAATCTTCTGCCATGCTAGTAGAGGCCTTCATGGATGCATTTCCAGGGCCAGACTATTTTTTGGAGAATAAAAATACCAGAAGGCTGTAAAGTCAAACCAAAGTCCCCTCACCAAAGTCCCACTTGCAGTGTCCAGCAGCAAATGGTTAAGGAGGATAACTCAGGACAGAGCAAGCATGCAACCTTCCCCATCCCCAAAATGCATCTCAGTTTCTAAGAATAAACAGCTCTGGGAATATCTACTTGCTGCTTCTTTTGGCATAATTTGTCGTCCTTCCAGGACATTCAAAGTTTGCCTGTAAACTTCATGTATGTAACTTTATTTCCAGCTGAGGGATTAAAGGGTGGATCATTGCTTGGGAGCAACGGAGGACACCAGTTAAGCTAGAATCTGTCCCCTGAGTGGGGACTGCAGACCACTCTCAGACCTGCTGCAAAATTTGTCATAAGCAGTGAATAGGCTGCTCAAAAATAGCCCAGAGCTAAGATGCACAGGAAATGCAGAGACGCAGACATTAGCACTGTGTTGTTTCCTCAGGCAACTGTTAAAAATGATGTCTTGTGGATGGCGTTAAAACTTTGAGGAGGAATGGGAGAGCACCTGAGGCTGCTATTTGAACTGCTCTGATATTTATTGCATTTATTTTACCAGCAGGTATCCCGACTTAGAGAGTTGCTCAGGCCCCAAAGGGCAGGTAGAGGTAGAAGGTGGCCTATGGATGTCCCACCACCTCTCACTCCAGGCTCTGTTCGCTGACTGCAGCCTTCTGAGTCATTGTGATGTGGCTGGCAAGTGCTCAGTATAAGGTCTCCTGGCCTCACAAGATGACAGCCAGCCCCACATAAGAAGTAGGAGCTCACACCTGCAGAAATCACACCTGCCTGGTTATAGAGGAGCATGGCTCTGAGAAGAGGGGACTTGCTGGTGAGGTGTAAATTTGCATGCATCATAATGGCTGAAGGCTGCATGAATGCTCTGGATGCATCAGAAGTGTGGGTTTGGACTTTAAATATGTATCCTTGCTTTGGATATTCTTTACTGATAGCTTATACTTGTGTAAGAGGTGGGAGAGCTGGCAGAGCAGTGTGCACTGGTTCCTCTTCTTCCTGTCCTTTCCTGTCCCCCTCTGCCCAGAGACAGCAGCTGTTGTACAGAATGGGCTTTTGAGAGTCTTTGCTGTACTGCACAATGTGTTTCCACTGCAAAGCAGAGTTATATGTTGCTGTTAATGATGGCAGTGGCTACGTGACATTTAAAAATGTTAGTGATGATGACTGATGCACGGATAACTGGTTCTTTATGATCTGTACTTTTTTTTTTTTTTTTTTTTTTTTTTTTTGTCTTCAGTTTGTGTTAAATACATTTTCATTATGTTGGACTTGGCTTTTATTTATTCACTTTAAGTTGTTTCACATAGCTCAGGGCTTGTAGCTTGCTTTTGATGTGTAATATTAGGTAACTTAAGGCTGTGGTTTGTTCTTTGTGTCTGAAAGCAGTTTATTTTCCTAGTTTTAACTGTGTCACATCCTCCTCAGGGGGGATGTACAATCAGATGGTTTATTTTCACTGAGCTGTTTCAGTGGGGCAAGAAGCTATGTCTGTCTGTGAGACAAATCAGCTGCATGTTGAAGTCTCAGGAACGTCAACGAAAAGAAATTAGTGAACTGTACAACTGAAAAGAGGGACTGTCTGGTGTAGACAAGTCCTGAGCTGAGATCCTTCTCATGTCTTTGCTTCTGAGCCCCTCGTGAGGGCAGAGTGGGAGGGGAGCTCCAGGTACATCAGTGCAGTTCCTTGGTGTGCAGGAACTGGACACTGGGAGTAGCATCCTAGTTGGACCAAATGTGTGTGCTAACATCTCCCTTCTCTTCCCCAGGACTAAGAGTATCAGAAGACCAGAGCACACTGTCATGGCTGCTGTTCACCTCCCATGCTGCTGTAGCTGAAGGACTCTTCTCCAGGCTGATAACTGGGTAACTTCCCCCTGCCTCAGCGTTCACAGGGAGGAAACCAAGCATGAGCAGTGCCATTCCCCAGCTGGAGCACAGAGGATAGTGAAAGAGTGACGCACGCATTGCATGGGCTCATGCCAGCCACTGCAATCGAGGCTGAGTTAAAATTTTAATTTATTTTAATGTAGTTATTGAGGCATTTTAATTCCATCAAAGGAAATAACACAAGACAATCTGCATATATTCATTTGCTACTTCTAAATGAATTTGATTCAGCTGTGCTTGGTTTCTTCTTTTTTGGGTTTTACTCTGAGATTTACTTCTTGCTTAGAGGCGTAAGTATTCAAGGATTGTGAACCTTAAAAATTGCAATCTAAATTCTGTTTTTCATACATGAATATTTAAACAGAGTAATATTGTCTGTTCTTTCTGTAAGGCCCCCTTCTTAATCATTAATATCTGTAGTTTTGTGCAAATACACCCCATATATATATATATGATTTGTATGCATTTAAAAAAAGATAGTTTCCTGGGACAAATTCCAATATCACAATATGCCGTGTATGAATATTTATAGGTCCATCAAAATTGGTGAATATTGAATTTACTGATAAGCGTTGTGGAGGGATTTTTTTATTATTATTATTTATTTTCTTTTTAAAAAAAGACTGGAAAACTATTTGCAATTTGGGTCAATTTTCTGTGCATATTTTTGGCCCAAAATAATGTTGTTTATTTTTCTGTTAAGAAAAAAATTAAGTTTTTTCATCGACAGCAGCTTTTGCATGCGTCATTTATTCAAATTGCAAAAACCAGCAACAACCAACCAACCAACTCTTACAATAGTAGTGAATTACACAAAACAAAAAATGTAACTTATGGCAAGGATATTAATTGAATAGACAATGAAATTTGGGATTTTGGTGGTATAAGAGTTTCATTGTCAGTTGCATGTTAGTAGTAGAATATTGACCAATGTGTTTGTATGAGCATTATTTTTGGGTTGCAGTGAAAACTTTCCATCTAGATACATAGCTGTTTTGTTAGAACTGTGCAGAAAACCTATCAAGCTGTTGTGTATACATATTGCATTGTGTATAAGTACTGTTGCCTCTTGCACTCAGATCACAAATGTTGCTACATTTGTTTTTCCATGCCACAAGTCTGGCATTGTTCTTTTTGTTTTGGCTTGGTCCTTTTGTTGTTGTTGTTTTGTTTTGTTTTGTTTTTCTGTGCACCAAGTGTCCTCACTTGTTATATTTTACATTAAGGATGTAGCATCATTGCATCCTGTTATTTTACAGAAATCGATACCAGCTGAGGTTTCTTTTTGCACAGAACCCTGTCTGCCTTTCCTCCTCCTCCTCTCAGCAAGTACCACAAAATGCATTTGCATATGGGTGTGAAGAGTGCATGATTATAATAGGCTGCATGTGTCCTGTAGCAACACACGACATTTTGGGATCAAGTATGACAGAAAGATACTTGCTAGTTTGGCATGTATTGGCTTTTGACTTGGGAATGTAAACAACATATTAGTACTTGCCATAGCTGCCATAGGATGGCAACATCATTTTCCAATCATCTCTAGGTGTGGGTGACTAAGTCAGAAAGCGGAGCATTGAAGAGAGACAAATGACAGCAGAAGGGAGAGAATAAGAAAAGGATGACCAAAAAGAACATTTGAGGGAATCCAGAGGTGAGTGCTAGAAAATGAGAACTTCGTTGGCAGGTTGGACAGTAACATCAGAAAACACCATGCAAGGTGTGCTACTGTAGTGTCGTGAAAACAGACACATGCTGGGACCTCTGCTTTGTTGCACAGCGGTGGAGGGCACAGCAGTGCATTGGTTGTGAAGCCCTTTGCTGTAACATAGCTGGTGGGAGCTGCAGCTGGGTGCTCGTCCACAATCAGATGCAGGTCTTGGGACCTGAGCAGAAGAAGGTGGGAGTTTGACTGTGGGAATACATATGTATATTTTTCAGTACAGTGCTATACAATTTTGCCATAAAAAAATTGATTCATTTATGTATGTTACCCAACTGTCGGAAAGTATCAGTAATGTTCCTTGCCAAATTCATGTTCAAGCAACAGCTGAATGGGTTTTCATCAAAATTCTCCATTGTGAATGATATATATTTTGATTGGATAGCTTCTGGATAGCATGCGCTTCTATTTTTTTTTTTTCTTTTTTCTTTTTTTTCTGTGAACTGGCTAACTATGGATTTGGATGAAAGTAGCATCTCAATCTTACCAATGAACAGGTGCCCTTATGCCAAAAAGGAGCTAGCAATTTGTAAGATACAATTTGTTAAAAAGCATACATAGCTAGGGATGTAAGTTACTAAATTCTTCTAAATTCTAAAGCAGGAAACAAATTCATATTTTTGTTCTCTTGCAAGAAGACAGTAGAAGACAGTTGCCTTTTTAGTTTTACTGAAGAAACGAAGTGACCCTTTGAGAAATTAAAAGCAGGGCAAGGGTTATGAAACATTTCTTTAGGTTATTTCCTTCAAATAGTTGAGTCTAGATCCTGAACTTTCCTATACATGCTGTTACCTTGATTTTTCAGAAGGAGTTGTAGTACATGCGTGTTTTCTATGGCAAAAGTTGTTTTTGTGCTAGCTAGTTGGACTTGCTATGAATAGTGAGCAGCTAGAGATGACTGGAAAAGGGTGTCAGAGATCCTGTTTTTTATTTTTATTTTATTATTTTATTTTTTTTATCCCCCTCTTTATTTAATTTGCTTGTAAATAGTAGTCTTGTTTGTTGGTTTGTTTTTGAAGCCCTTTTTACTTTCTCCCTCCAGCATAAGAATAATACTTGACATGGGGTCTTTTTTAGAACATCTGTTTTCAAAGGAAACAAAGGTTTTACTTTTTGTTCTCTTTGAAGGTATTTGCGTGACAATTTGTGACTACATATCATTTCCTTTGCCTTCAGTTTCTGCAGTGTTGATTCATTTTGCTAAAGATGTCTCAGACGTGGTCAGTTCTGGCTGCACTCCTTTTCTTGATTTTCAGCCTGGTTGAAGGGTCAGGTAAGTGAGAAAGGTCCAAGCAACAGCCACTGTGTGGTACTCTGTATTACCAACTTGCACATATGCTGACACTTCACAGTTCCCCAGAGGAATTTGCTTATTTTTTAATGTGAGCATGAGGAGTGATGTCATCTCAGCTGGAAAAATAATCCTGTGCTTCCCAGAGTGGCACAGGATAATATACCTAATAGGGATCCAAAACACAAATCATCTGAAGATGCATCTTCTGTTCAGCTGTGATCATCAGGAGATCTATGGTTTCTGGCAGAAAAGGTGTTTATATATGCTCCATGTTACATATGAGCCAAGAACTACTGCACCAAGTGTTTTACCATTGTTACAGGTGTAGTCATCTCCCAGGTTTTACTTGGATTTTAACTAAGGCAGCTAACTCAATAACAGTGTACTTTTCTAAGACAAAACAAACAAACAAACAAACAAAAAACAACTAAACTTTTCTTTCCCTTAAGGGTGAATCTTGGCCTCCCCAATGGGTTTTCAAAGCCCGTATTAAAGCAATAGGAAACTGCTGACCAAAAAAAGATGAAGGACTTGTAGCTCATCAGCATATATCTGTGGTAGTTTTACTTGGTGGGTGGCCGAGCTCCACCACAACCGATCTCTCACTGCCCCCTCCTCAAAGAGGAAGGGGGAGAAGGTTTGAGATGAGATTGATTTAATTAAAGGGAAAAGGGGGGGGGGGAATAATAAAAATAATAATAAAAAAACAACAAGGCCACACAGAGGCACAGAGAGAAAGGGGGGAAAAAAAAGTTATTCTCTACTTCCCATCAGCGAGTGATGTTTGGCCACGTCCTGGGAAGCAGGGCCTCAAAATGCATAGCAGGTTTTCGGGAAGGACAGCTCCCACCCCCACAGGAGCCCAATTTTTTATTGCTGAGTGTGACATCAGGTATTATGGAATATCCCTTTGGTTGGTTTAGGTCAGCTGCCCCGGCAATGTCCCCTCCCCATCACTTGCCCACCCCGAGCCTGCTGGCTCTTGGGGGCTTGGAGGGAGTCCTGATGCTGTGCCAGCACTACGCAGCAATAGACACAACACTGGAGTGATATCAGTGCTGTTCCAGCTACGAGTGCAGAGCACAGCACTGTGTGGGCTGCTGCAGGGAAAGGTGACTCCACCCCAGACAGACCCAGCACAATATCATGTAACTGCACAGTATCCACAGAGGAAAGACACCTTTTCCACTGCATTTCCAGACTTCAAAGTCAGTGACAGTGGGAAGGAGGACCAGGAAACTGAATATGACTTATATGTGCCTGCACAGAGCAATATGTACCCAAGGCTGCCAGTACAGTAAGAAAATAGAAATTTTAAAGTGTGGTGAAGCCAAGAGCCATGCCTATGCTTTGATGAAGGCTGTAACATCATTTTTAACTTTTGACTTTTTTTTTTCCATTTTTTTCTCTCTTTCTGTCTCATTGTTTTTGTTTTTGTTTTCTTATGTAGCTTATAACATTGTGAATGTGGAGGCTGGCGATGAGGCTGTGTTGACTTGTGCTTCCACCTCCAAAATGTATTTGGTAATGGTGACATGGGAGATAAAATCCAACACTTCCTGCTCTTTGGCCTATAGAAATGATCGCAACGAGACAAAGTTAAACTGCAGTGAGAGGATGATGTGGAAATATTCACCTGACAGGGACCCTGCTCTTCGTATTTACCCTGTGAACCTGAGTGATGAGGGAAATTACACCTGTGAAATTGCCACTGATATGGGGAATTTTCATTTTTCCTCTTCCCTGTCTGTGATAGGTAAGACGCACCTAGTGTTTTTTTGTAGTTGTTGGATGGAGATAAAAATGGCTTGATTTGGTGTTAAAAGACCAAATTCATTTTGGATGTATGCTGAGATTGAAAACAACGTAGAAACTTAATTCAGTTGGACTGGCTGTTTGGAGAGGGGAAGGAGGCATGCAGAGTTACAGAATAGGACTGGGCTGTTTTAGGGATATATATACATATATTTTTCCCTTCTGACTCCACAGGCAAAGATGTACCAAATGCAATGCTCTGGGTAGTTTCTGAGGTAGTTCTTTGGGCATAACACAGGATTTGAATGTTGTATGAATGTTCCCATAACCAGGAGTACACATTCTTGCTTAAGTTAATGTAAGTAGAAGATATTAAATAAATATTCCTGCTTTAAGCTGAGCAGAAGGGTGCTGAACCAAAATTCACAATGCACATGATGTGTATTTTGTGTGGGTAAGAGCCAAGTAGGAAAGAAGAGAGAGTTGCAAGACATTATCTGGAAATATTTCACTCTTACAGAAACACTGAAAATTGTCTGTAAGGCTGCATCACTAAAATAAAAATGAAACCTAGGCTATTTTCAACCTAGGCGGGAACAAAAGTGTGTTAAGAAACATAACCAATATATCAGATAATCTTTCTCAGATTGGTAAATTTTCTCTAGGTTTCCTTAAATTTCAAGAAACATTTTACTGTGAGAGAAGTTTGTATTCTGATTATATTAGTCAATTTTTAGTTATGCTCAGAACGCTTATGGAAAATTTATTCATAAATCAATAATTGCTACTGATAGTTTTTGTCTCTTGAAGTTTTTTCTTCTTCCTTGCAGGGTCTTGCCTTTTTAATAATGCCTTAGACATTGTCCAAGCCTTTGCTTGTTTTGTCAAATGTAGAATATGAATTGTTGGGCTTTAGGCAGAATAGTTCTTGTCCAATTCCTCCTTTCTTTCCAGACTGTCAAATTCTTGATTCTACCTATATTCTAGCCTATATAGCTAATTCTAGATTCTACCTTCGATTAGATATAAGGCAGAAATTCTTTACTCTAAGGGTGGTGAGGCACTGGCACAGGCTGCCCAGAGAAGCTCTGGAAGGTGCTCAAGGTCAGGTTGGATTGGGCTTTGGGCAATCTGATCTAGTGGGAGGTGACCCTGCCCATGGCAGAGGATTGGAGCTGGGTGGTCTTTAAGGTCCCTTCCAAGCTGTTCTATAGTTCTATGTAGTTCTATGTAATCTTTTAACTTGCATGTAATGTTTTAGGTATAGCTTCAGTAAGCTTTTTTTTTTTTTTTTTTTTTTCCCTCTTTCCCCAGTATGTACACTGCTATACTTATAAATCTACATTTAATCCAGCTCTGTCCATCATCCCATCTTCTCCTGTAACATCTATAGTCATCTTCTGGAAAATATGAGGGAACAATACTTTTTAATGCAGCTAGCATATTTTAGAGATATTTATTTACCTTGGACTTTGATGTATTTTTTTTCCCCTGAAGATGATTGGTGCTAATATTCCAAATTATTTTAAAATGTCTTGGATTGGCCATGTAAACTAAAAAATACCACCTATTCTGTTTCTCAGTTGGAAACTTTACCCTGAACTAGAATTAACAACTGTGGTCTTTTTTCTTCTGCAGTCCCTCCTACAGTGACTCTGACCTCTGACAAGAGCAGAGTGGCTGTCTGCCAAGCTGCTGCTGGAAAGCCAGCTGCCAAAATCTCCTGGATTCCTGCAAGTAATAACAGCTCTGAGGAAGAATTCAAACATGGCAATGGAACAGTGACCAGAGTCAGCTACATTGGCTGGGTCAACAGCATGAACACCACTGTCACCTGCCTGGTTACCCACCCAGCTATGAACCAGAATCTCTCCCTAGATCTGTCAGGTAATAAACATCATTCTGTAATTGCTTGTCATCATTCTCTTGTGATTCTTTGTGTTTTTCTATGAAGCTGTTCTAGCTGAATCCCAGGGTTTGGCAGATTGGTTAGTGGGGTGAAAAGCCAAAGTTCTCATACATATTGATAGAGAAATTAATAATTTAATCAACTGAAACCAGTTGATGGCATGATATGGGGAATCTTCCAGTGTGAGTTTACTTGTATCTCTATTTATTTTACAACAGTTCCTCTTTCTGTTTCAGTGACCCTTTTTAATCAGTAATGATAGAAAAGTTGCTCTCCACAGGAACTGTGATGCAGTTCACTAATTTTTTATGTGAAACTTTTAACCCCCAGAGCTGAATTTTGTCCAGCTCCCCACTGGAAAACTTCCTTGGAGACTGTCTGTGTGTGACTCTTAATCAATCTTTTTCAGGCCCAAAGGTAGTAAAGGGTAAAATTTAGCTTCTCAGCTGTCTGTGTTAGATCTGATATAAGTTTCTGACTGTAAAATTTGTAAGAACAAATTAATTGTTCTTAATAAATAATTAATGTTAATTAAATGTTAATTAATAAAATAAGTGTTCATATCACCAAAATATCTCAGCAGAGGCATGAAGGACAGAAATCAAGATAGACCAGCCATTAATTACAGCATTCTGCAGGGCTGTCTAGTTAGTTCTATTGATGCCGTACTAATACCGTTTCAACAAAGGGGGGCCATGCAGACACATGGGTTGAAAATGGAAGTATGTTTGTCTACACACAACTGGATGTGTGAAGTATTTCCTATTCCTGGTTGGTGTCTAGACAGCTCATCTATCTCTCACCGCTCATTGGTGCTGCGGGGGTAGAGCATTAGGTCTCCTTTCTGGTTAAGGTATGTGCCAACATCATATAGTCAGTGGATACTGACATCTAGCTCTGTAACTAGCTTTCTTTTCTCATTTCTCAGACTCTTCCTCCAGGCTTCACTATCCCCTGGTGGCACTGCCTGCAAGTGTCGCTGCTATCAGTGGTTTTGGTGTGCTTTTATGCTTAATTTTCACGTGCAGAGGTAAGTCATTTGATGAGTCTGAAATGTTTTACAATTCTGTGTCTGACTACTTGCAGGTACTAGGACATGTGCATTATTGTTGAGAGTGGGTTGGGAGGAAAGACTGAGGAAAATGTCCACATGGGATGCATTGACCCTTTAGAAAAGTCCTAACAAAAGAGTAGACAGAACTTTAAAACAAGCTTGGATTTTCAGAAGAGCCATTGTTGTTATGCTAGTAATGTATTATATTCACAGCAGAGTTATCCAGGAAGAAAGGGATAATTGCTGAGAGTAGGATGGGTCTTGAGTTTTTAGAATTTAGAATGATCATTCTGCATTCACCAACATAAAAATTCAGTATATAAAAAGAAGTGTTCACAAACTTGTCTAGACACTAGTCTAACAACTAGTTGCAAACAATCCTTCCCCCACTCTAAATCCTGTTTCCATCTGCAGTCATAAGTTTTCCCTTAAGCAAATGTAAGAATAGGTCAAATGTACATGCTTCCCTCTGGTACAACCATACTTTTTCAGGCCGTGTAGATTTCATGGGCATTGAGTCAGCTCATACTGGTCATTGAGTCAGCTCACTTGACTCAATGCCCTCCCACTCTTGGAGTTAAGTAAAATGGCTGTGATGGGGTATGGATGGAGTAGAAGCCTGAGTGAAGGCTTAAAATGGAAGGAAGAGAGGTCCTTAGCCTATCATGTCCCCTCAGAAAAGTACACCTGAGTCAGTTCAATCATGTCTCCCAGGGAGACCAAAACTTTCAGTGAAGGGGAAAATAAAACAATAATGTATTCAGGAGCAGGGAATAAAAGGTGAGAACTTAACCAATGAGAGCAACTATTTCAAAGATAGTCCTTCAGGCATTGAGGGCAGCACATAACAACTTTTCACCGTGTCCCATCAAACCATTTTGATTTCCTACTTCCAGCTTTCTGCTTACGTAAATTGGCATGTGAGCCACCAGTACTGGTTGAAGTAAGTGGGATTTTATTTTTGTGTGTGTGTGCTTTTGTGTTTCTTTATTTGTTTTTGTTTGTTGTTTTATTCACTAAAACATTTAATTTCATTGTAACGTGTCTGCTCTGAAAAAACTTCTGTTTATCTCTGTTTGTGCTTGGAGAAGGGGAATGAGGAACTGTGTGTCTGGAAGGGTATTTATTATTTGGATGGCCCTAACTTCATTACTCAGAATATCTGAGTAATTGCATAAGCACTACATGGAGAATGGAGTAGTGCATTTCCTGCCTAAGAATACTATAAATTAAATTTGCAATACCAAGGTTTAAACTGAATTTTAGATCTTCCCAATGTTAATGTGTTCACAGCTCAGCTTCACAGAGTAATCTTAACTCTGATCTTTTCCTTAAGAATGTGTATTGCCCTTGATGACAGAAATCTGCATGATTAAAGATGTGATGAAAACAGGCAGGCATTTACATGGAGGGAAAAGGGTGCAGTTCCTTATGCAGTATTAGCTATTTTAGCAACACAAACAGCTATGAAACTTCTATATTTTAAGTTGCAATTCAGACACTCAGGAGCTAGGAAACAACACTGTTAAATTTGCCACTGCAACTTTTATTTCCTCTCTAATTCCAGGGTGTCCTGATACATATTTAACAGCATGATAATATGCTTCTCTTTCCTCAGGGCTTCTGCCTCATTTAATGCACTGAAAGAGCAATTATTTCATATTTTGTTTTCTGCTCACGGTGGAATTAATGGCCGTGTGCCTTATTTGTTGCAAACTAGTCAAACAGTGCTCTGAAGCCAGAATGATTAATTTCCTGATATGTTCTTCTATGGCATTCAGCAGAATTTGACTGACGGGAGTGGGAGCTGCTTAGATCAAAGTCAAAAGCTTCCAGTAATTTTAGGTGCCTACGTTGGAATGCCTGTGGCCTGACCTTTTTATTTGTTGTTGTTGTTGTTGTTTGTTTTGTTTTGTTTTCTCAGAGAAGTTAGCATTGTTTGTTGTAATCTATTTTGCTCAAAATACTGACTTTTCAAAAATTGTTTCCAATCTCATTAAGAAAAAGAGGTTCAGAAGGTTGTCTTGTTTAGACTTTGTGAATGCACTTGTTTCTCTCTGATGGTTCAGGTTTCACCCTCTGCACCCTACTCCTTTGCTTCAAGGTTCCTTTGCAAAACTACTGCTGACTGCTAGTTTTCTTCTGGGCTTGCTTGTTTGTTTGGCCTCTGTAGATATGATGGCTCTACAAAATTCTGCATGTATATACATGTACATTATATAATGGTACATGTTTTCCTTTATATTGCAGACTGAGAACTTCAGGTCCACACCATCACATAAAAACACACCTGAAGTCAACCCTCATGTCTTAGAAGAGACTATCTATCAGAATTATGGAGCAGGAAATAAATTTATGGACTATTATTCCTAATGATGTAGGCATAAGTGGTCTAATACCAGCTCAGCTACTAATGGTACTTGAACTTGTCCTTGAACTAACAAATCTCAGATCTCATGCACAGCAGGCTAGCAGAGTACTCACATACTCAACGCTGACCAAGAAAAGCCTTTGTCTTTCCCGACCTGAAGACAGTCAAGGGAACAATCTGCTGATGATTCCTCTCTTACTGTAAATATCAGAACAACTCTCGAAATATTTGCAACTTCTAAAGACTGAGTTGGAAAAAGAGATTTGATTTTTTTTTTTTTTTTTTGGGAAAATGGACTCTGAAGCATGTGCTGTTTTCCCTCAAATCAACAATTGACATAATTTTGTGACTGAGTAAAAGACTGCTGGTGAAAATGTAGCACTTCTGTGTCCAGTCCATTTTAGTGACTGGTTTCTCATTGCAATTCAATGCTGGAAAACAGAAAGCGACACAAGGGACTCTGAAAAGACCAAGAAGACCTACCCAGCAGAAATAAAACTTTTTTTCTAGATAGATAGTTACATGTTACAGATAAGTATCTACTCTTTTTTTTTTCCTTTTTTTTTTTTTCCTTTAATGTACTTCTTTTTCAATTAAACTTTCTATTTGCATTGATAATGGCAGAAAAAAAAAAACAAATCTGAATTTGTACTTGATATGAAAATGAGAAATAGCAATGAGCAATTTTCTAAGATTAATTTAAAAGTAAAAATATAAATATGCAAATATTTATCTCAAATGATTTGTGGGGCTATTTGGGTAACTCTTTACAGACCAGATCACACCCTGGTTTTAAAGAGAAGAGCAGTGTTAAGTTGTGAAAAATGCAGATGGTGTACATGTTTAAAAAAACACCAACAACTAATCAAACCACTTATTTCCCTGTCCCCAAGCTGAAGAAAACCACAGATTGCTTGATAATTTCAGTTTTCATAAGCCAGGCTTGTGAAACCTTTTCCAGGCACTAATATAGCACTAAGTATGAAGTAGGCATGAAGATCCCTCAGTGCCTTTCAATTGCATTTCACTTTATCAGCTCTAAATAGGCAAGGATGAGCACCTACTGACACTGCTCCAGGCTTTCCTTTCAGTTGCATCAGAAGGGCATGATGAGCAACTCCCTGGTTTATGACAAGTGCCTACAGAAGGTAGTCCGTTCACCCCTGTTGTGTAACTCAGTGTAGCCCTTCTTGCAGTGCTAAACGTCAGTGGTGGGTTACTGTTTCAGAGCTGTGTATAGCTTCTTCATATCATCTGCTGGGAAGGAGAAGTATATTTTTTGTATATATATATACAAAAATATATATATATATATATATAATAAATATATATTTTATACTTTCCATGTATACAGCCTCTGGGAGAAATATGTGACAGCTAGCTTGAAATTAGTGAAAACAGGTTTTCAGTGATTCTACTTAGGAAAAGCGTTCAGTAGCTCGAGTGAAACTCACAGCTGAGTGTAAGGGAGTGGTTTCCCAGTTCTGCTGGTCTGTGGTTGGCAGTGCATAATGAGCACAATCCTGCATCCTTTTTTGTTCTTCCTGTCAACCTGGACCTATCACAGCTAGGGTGCTGTCGAGGAGTTAGTTGTGTCTGAAAGCCTCTGAAAAGATCTCATGTTTCTTAGGGAACAGCCTAGCTGGGTCTAAACCAGGGTTTCTACAGCTGCTGCAATTTGAGTTTGTCTTATTCAGAAGCTGGACCATTGCAGCCAGACATCAGGATGATATAGTTGTCAAACTGAGGAGAGTTAAGCTCTGGAGCAATCTGGTTTTGATAATCATGGTGCACAGGTGTTGTGATTTTAAGGGTGCAAAGCAAGAACTTCTCATGGTTCCTTTGCACCATGTGAAATGTTGAAAAGTAGACATAGGAAATAAAACTTAGGGGAGGTGTTTGTGTTGGGGAAGACCTCTGGAGAATCTCCATTGTAATAGTTACCCATGGCAGAGAAGCGTGGTTTCCATGTTTGTGATTTTATTTTCCCTTTTAAATTATATTTGGTGGAATCGGTCCAGTCACCTGCAACATGTCAACATTTCCACTGATGAGAAATTCTGAGGAGACTTTGTTCTGGATATGTTAACACGCAGTGCTCTGGCAATGAGATAGGTCCCATCGTGCCACAGGGATGCAGACAAATGGATTCTCTTGGCAGTCCCACAGCTCTAAACAGCAATACTGATGATGGTTTGACTTCTTATCTCTGGGATGGCCCAATAACCACTTCAGCTGCAGCCTCTCAGAAAATTAACTTACAGCATGGTGGCCTGGTCAGGCTGCAATTGTCACCTGTTCCTTGCCAACAAAAAGCTTGTTACCAGCCCACAGCTCATCCAAAGCCACATGTGGCAGGCATTAAAAGGTCTCAGCTGCCTAATTGTTGTATCTTCCTTCTGCAATAAAATTGGCCCTCATGCTTTTCAAGCTTGCTGTGTAAGATTAATAAAACTTATTAGGGCAAAGAGAATAATGTGGCCAGTGGGGGTGATTGTAAGAAAGACGGACATGAATGGGTCTTCTAGTCAGAGCATAATAATTGACCAATCTCACTTAATTTTCTGCTCGTCTTTTGTATGCATTGAAGTTGTGGTACAAGCGGTAGGCAATTATGGATACAGAATTCATTTCTTTGTAGCTATATGAAATTCACAGGAATGCATACTACTACATCCTATGTACAACTGTACAAGTTGTCAATGGGTGATAACTGTTTTAGTGGACCTGTCAGCGCTTCTAAGAGCATCATCTATGAAAGGAGGAAGATGGGATGAGCCAAGCAATGGGCCTGTGAGTATGCTCAAGAAAGAAGCCCTTGGTGCTTGGGAGAAGAGATACAGGTCTGTGAGGTGAGAAAATTTGCATGGAAACAGCAAGAGGAAAATGGGAGGCTGGAGAAAGGGTTGACAGAGGGGATCAAGACAGCTGGGGTTTAAAGGAGAACAAGCATGCTATTGGGTTGTTGCAGCTTGATACTTTATACTGTGACTAGTTGCTTTGTCTAGTCACTCTGGCTGTCATTGGGTACCTTAACTTCTGATCATGACTGATCTTGGTAGGTTTTGTCACATGGGAAGCTCCTCTCTCAGGTTTTGTAATGGGGAAGTCATATTGATGTCAACCAAAGAGTCCAAAATGTGTATTTTGACTCTTGAAGGAATTTGGTCTGGAAAATAATCAACTTAAGGATGCTTTTATGATTATAACCATTTTTTTTTCTTTATTATGTGCATACTTGGTATTTTTAAATAGATTTTATCTGCACGAAAAGCTTTAAGCAAGACGAATGTTTTAGATTGCAAATTTCTGTGTATTCTAATTGTGAAAATGGCTAGAGAAATGCTGACTTTTTTTTTGAATAATTATTATGAGAGAGCCTCTAAAATGAAATGGGTATCGGAATGAGCTAGTTACGATAGTTACTCCCCAAGAGCAGTCCTGTTGCTTCCTCTGTCCTGTTCCAGCTGCTCAGTAAGCATACACTGATGTGTTGAATAATGCTGAATACAATGGGTGATGGATGACTCTATTCTCTTCATCAGTCTCCAGAAATACTGAGCCTGGAGATC